CCTAGTTAAACCGCAAGTGCAATAAACCTACAGTCTTCACCCGAATAGAACGCCCGGTCATTATAGCTACAACTTTCAGCCCAGATACGACGATAATTACTGGGTGTTCTATTCGGGTGAAGACGGTAGTTAAACTGCAAGTACAAGAAACCTACGTAAACCGCAAGTACAGTAAATCTAGTTAAACTGCAAGTACAGTAAATAAACCTAGTTAAACCGCAAGTACAGTAAACCTAGTTAAACCGCAAGTACATTTCCCGGACATTTTTCTTTGATGCAGCCATTCATGTGCGCCGACTTTTGGGGCATGCCCTACCAGAGCTAAATGGCTGGCGGGATTTATCGGGGCACAGCGCTGCCGGGAGCGCTGTGCCCGAACCGATACCGCTTTCACACGGCGGGTTCTCACGACGCGCTGCGGGTGGCGTTGGTGCGGTGCGGCTCATACGGCGTGGTCTTATGATGTGTTGCGGGTGGCGATGGCGGTGCGGTTCCCGAGCGAGGCAACGAAGATCGATGCGGCGGGGGCGGCAGCTGCTCTTCTTCATACGCGAGCGTGAGTTAGGATGCAGCGCTTGTTGGGTCATCGTTTTCCTCAGGAGTGCTGTGGGCATGACGTGGGGATGTGGATGACGGGCCGGTTCGGTGCTCTTGGGACGGCTGGGGTTCGAACTACGTAGCGATGATGTGATGAGGAGCTGCGATCTTGTGTGCGTTCTCAGGGCAGCAACGTTGGTGGTATGGCGGGGCCTTGTGGAAGACGATAGATTCAAGTGGGTACGACATCAACCCCATCAACATCGAACGGGGGACTCCAATTTCGATTGTCTGCTGTTTGTTTTTTTCGTTGCCCCTTGTTCTTCTCTTCCTTTGGAGCAGCTTCCTAGGAGGTCCGGACCTCCTGTGGACCCTTGTCGGCGGGCTCGACAGGGTTGTTCCACACCATCTTGAGCTTGTAATGAGCTGAAGGTGGCCTGATATAGCCTTTGTGTCGCTAGCTGAAATGGTCTTAAGGGCGCTTGTGCGCCGATACTGCTAGCAGATGACGGGTGAGGGAAGGCATACCACTTTCTCTTCCAAAGGCGGGCAGGGGCTGGGTTGGGGCGGGTATTTGCTGGTTGTAAAGGAGGACGACGGGGGGGGTGCTATTATGGATGATGGCAGCGGAGAAAAACTTTCAACACAGGTAAGATTCATAACCTTGGTTCATGATTAAGGTGTGGTGGCAGCGGAGAAAAACTTTTATGATTAGGGTGTGGTCGTCCTTATGATCTTCTAGAGTATGACCGCCTGTTTGGCGGGCGTTTAGATGTCTTGCTCTTCTGTGAAATACCTAGCATCACTCGAAGGTTTCGCTATGATTTTCGGTGCTGTCTTCTATTCATTTCTATCTACCCTTACCTTTTTTTGATCCTTGATATTTGTTAAGCCATATTTTGATTCAAGATCTCCTAGTTAATCTCCTTAACCTCAATTTTGAAGTCTCAATTCCCAAACGATGGTTATGTCCTTTACTACGATCCAAATTACGTTCAAGAAGTACGTTCTTGCTCTTCATATTCGTTAGTCCAATAGATGGACATCCTTCATAGTTTCTACTCAAGCTCCTATTAATTTCCTATAGATCTTTCTACAAAAACTCCTGATCCTTTGCAATCGTGAGTCCGGCTTCGGACATCTCAGATATTCGTATTTTTCGATCTAGAAAATTAAAAAAGCTCTATAACCGGGGGTCGACAGATCCCTAAATCATCCTTGGAATTTACACCCCAAGATCTTGTTGCTGTATTCTGATTTCTAAAATTGGCTTCCTATTGCAACAGTTTGGAGGCTAATTTTTGCACTGACCACTTTCACGAATTGACGTTCGAATCTAGTACTTATTTTCAATTAATTTTGCTTAATTTCGTCCGTTTTCCCTTAAGGAGGGGGCTGGATTGCGGAGGTAGGATGGTATGATGGGGGGAAAGGACGCGCTCTGTGGGAAGGGGCTAACTGCAGAGTGGAATTAGGGCACAGCAGCAGGGAGATGGTGGCTCCACTGCAGTAAGTCTTGCCGGAGTAAGGTTGGACAGGTTTAGGTGGTGGGCGGTATCAGTTCTTTTCTTCAGGGAGATTCTCCTATTGAGACAATTTTTCTTATGGGGTGTTGGGCTTGTTGTTATTTCCCATGGAGAAGATCCGAGTCCTTGCTCCAAGAGGGCTGCGGGGTAAGAGGGGGGAAGGGGGGCAACCGAGGGGGGACTGTGGGTTTTGTTAGTAGGTTAGAAGGAAGGGGCTGGGACGACGCAGGCTGGTGCTGGAGTGTTTTTGCTCTGTGACCCGGAGAGGAGCACAAGGCTTGGGGAGTTCTGTCGAGGGAGGAAGATAGAACCAGCACTTTCGACGTGGCTGTAGCTGGGGTGTATCCCTGTCACCGTAGGGGCATGCGGCTATGGGGAGTTGCCGAGGGAGGAAGGCACTCCTCACCATCTACACTAGGTCGGTCGGTACTGGGGCTTAGTGGTGTCCTGTAACTCTAGCATGGGAGGGTATGAGACCAGCCGTGTGTCGGTTTGAGGATTGAATACGAGACCTGTAGTTTTCTTCAATAGTTGTGGGGAGAGTGGGTTGTTGTTTGTTTGTGCACTTCTTACTAATGTTTTCTGGTTCTGGATCCTTGGTAGTACTTGGTTTTTACTTGCAACTGGGGTGTAGGAGTTCAGAGAGGGTCACACCTGGACTGATATTCGCAGAGGTGCTCTGTTCTGTGCCCCTGTTTTGCCTCTGCCAGAACGACGCTGGCCGGAGCTGGGGCGTTGCCCTGTGACCTGCAATTCGCAGGAGTATGAGGTCTTGTAGAGAGATCTGGGGGTTGCCGAGGGTGGAAGGCAATCCAGTGGCGAACTGGGGGGGGCTGCGTGGCGGCGAGAAGAGATCAGCTATGGGTGATATCAGCATGGTGGGTACTGTCCCTGAGTAAGTATGTCCCGGGGAAAGGAAGGCTAGGAATTACCTTAGGAGTCTAGATCTAAAGGTCTGCTGGTGTTTTTTTGGTTACCAACGAGGGTCTTAAGAGTGTTTTAGGAATCTGGGGACTTCTAATAACCCAGCTTAGATGATTCATTGCTGATGTACTCAGTGACCTGCGGAGTGTTTGATGCCAGAACGACGCTGGCCGGTGCTGGGGCATTGCCCTGTAACCTGCGGATGCAGGAGCGTGAGGCCTGGTAGAGAGATCTGGGGATGCTTTGGGGGGCCATTCTAAGGGACAACCAAGGGTTGCTGCTGAGACAACGCTGGTCGGAGCTGGGGTGAGTCGTGTCACCCTGTAACCCAGCAGGGTGGGGGTGCGCGACCTGGAAGAGCTCAGAAGGGAGTTTGTCAGTGTTGGAAAGCTCAGATGGGTTGTTAGGGATTCGTAGATTTCTGAGCATTTTTGGACTTCTGTGGTGGCGCTTTTAGTTGTAGCAGACTGATTTTCCTGAATCTTGTTGAAGTAAAATTCTGAGTAGCCTAGAAGCTTTCGTAGCCAAAGCCGGGTAATGGCTCCGGCACCTTAAACTTTCAAATCCTACGTTTTTCATCATTACGATCTCGGTCATCCACATAAGGGACGCTGAGCCGGGTTCTCAGCAATCTCGGTTTCGTTACTCCGGGTAGACTGTGAGGACCCCGGCCTCAATATCTTTCATCAGTAATATCAGCCTTGGGCACTGGGCCCTTTAAAAAAAAAAAAAGAAGAAGAAAAAAAAAGAGCTAAATGGCTGGCGTTTTGGTTTAGCGCGCAGGGCCTTTATGGCTTGACAAGGGAAGCGTCACAAGTACTGATGGCTTAAGAAGCATACTTGTAAGCAGGTCTAGAAGCAAGTCGTGATTAATTACTGAGAGTGCTGCACAATAGACTGTTTATCTAGGTTACCTCGGTGGCTGTCCAGGACCCCCCTCGAGTGTCTGGGATGTGTAATCGAACAACCGGCCCAATCGTCTGCCTGGGTCCACATGTCAGACTCCTAGCATGGGAGGCCGTCAATTTCTTTTTTCGGAGGCCAGTAGGGTCTCAAGAAATGAAAAACAAGGCCCAATCTGAGCTGTCAGGTCTTGAAGATCGATGGCCCAGGTTGTGCCGTCTTCAAATTCAAATTTGTGTGGGGGTGCCCCGTGCACGACTTTTGTGCACACGTTGGAGTTCAGACTTCGACGCCAGTGGCCACACCTCCATCGCCAACAACGGCAGGTAGGTGCTTGTCTCCGACCCCGTGACTGTTTTTTGGGTCGGAAGAGTAAGCAAAGGAGGAGGAGGAGGAGGTGGAAGAGGATGACGGCGACAATGAAGACGGTGAAGAAGAAAAAGAAGAAGAAGAAGACAAAGAAGAAGAAGAAGACGAAGAAGAAGACGAAAAAGAAGAAGCAGTAGGAGTTGGAGTAAACAACGGAGGAGGAGGAGGAGGAGGAGGAGGAGGGGGAGGAAGAAGACGACCACGACGATGACCACGACGACGACGACGACGACGGCGGCGAAGAAGAAGAAGAAGAAGAAGAAGAAGAAGAAGAAGAAGAAGAAGAGTTGAAGAGGCTGGTGAGGGTGCTGGTGAAGAAGAAGATTGTGATTAAGAAGAAGAAGTTCATGACCACTTGCTGAAAGGAGGTTGCTGGCAGGTGCGTTGGTTCATTGGATGTGCCGACCACCAGTTAGTGTCCTGCCATCGTCAGTCACATGTTGTTGATCATTGGCGCCTTAGTCCAACCCTGCGATCACATCTTTCAGATGTTGATTGTTGGTGCGTTAGTCTGCCAACTGTCAATTTATTCTCCAGCCAGACTTACTTAGTTGGGATGGCTGGCAAAGTTGTTGAGTCTATAAGACTCTATCTGCTTGTGATGTGTGTGTTCCTTTTTTTCTCCCCTCTTCCCGATCCCTTATCGTTTGTGGGAAAACAAATTGAACTGAAACTTCTGAAAGGCAAATTGTGCTGACCAATGCAGAGTGTTTGTGAATGTTGGAATTGGAATGATTTCAGCCCCATTGGTTGCATGTGGGTGATTGACGAAGATGAACTGCGATCAAGCATCCTCTGAAATTGACTGTGGCGAAGCGGGGAGTGCAGCAGATGGAGGAGGAGAAAGAGGAGGAGGAGGACGAGGACGAGGTAGCAGCGGCGACCCTTTACGTGGTGTCGGTGAGCAGAACACAAGCAAGATAGTGAGTTCAAAGCCAGTACCCTCCTGGATGAACAGCAGCCTATGGTCAACTTCAGGAAGAGGAGGGGGAGGAGGAGGTGGTGGTGCAGACAGTGTGAAGGAGGTGGCGAAAGATACATCAGCAGCAGCAGCAGCAGGAGTAGGAGCAGGAGCAGGAGCAGGAGCAGGAGCAGGAGCTAATCAACACCCAAAAAATGATAGATCAACAGCAGAGCGCGCCAATGAATACATTCCCCGTGTGTCATTTGGCAGACGGTCATCCGAAAAGGAGAATAATGAGAGATGGTCAGAAGTAATCACCTCTGCACCAAGACACGTGTCGCCACCTCAACGGCATACTGATCCTCCTCCTCGAGGCAGGTTGATGTCCCCTCGAAGCCAGTCACTGCCGACCTCAATGCTGTTCTCTGGACCTGGACTGTTTCAAAGGCTCAGATGGGCTGACGACAACCAACTGCCAAGAAAGACTATGCAGCAAAAGGGTGGGGTGACCGCAAGAGTTGGTGGGGAGGAGGATTTGTGGGAGAAAGTTATGAAGAGGGGCGATGGGCATGAAGAAGGAATGGACCATCATGACTCTGCAGCTCTCTCTCCCTCGTCGGCAGCAACGATGGAAGCACAGGAAGAGGTGCAGCAACAAATTCAGCCTCGAAAACAAATCAGTGCCAGTCTCTCCCATGGAGCAAGGGTCTCCCAGTTCCAAGCGGAGGTGAGATATAGCTATGGGCCTGGCCAAATGAGCCCACGAAACTAGACAAGGAAGGAAAACAAAGGAGTGCATCTTCCCACGGAAGCTGGGAAGTTACTTTTGGTATTCTATTCATAGTGACAGATGAATCTTTCCAGTTTCTTTGTGAAGATGCACTTGTTTTTTTTTGTGCTTTTTTTCTAGGAAGATTTTCATGACCGGCCGGTCACCCGGGCATGACGCCCGGGTGACCCGGGCATGGCAAAAAAAAAATAATAATAAAAAAAAATGGTGGTGGGGTTTTTCCGCGCTCTCCGAGAGGAGCCCAAATCCGGGCTCTTTTCTTTTTTTGAGTGTTGGCTGTCAAGGGGGGGGAAGGGGAGTGTAAATGAATTTTAAAGGGGCTAAAGGGGTTTAAAGGGGAGTGCCTTAGTGTGATATGGTTATTTTCTTTTTTATCTTTAGTTCTGTGAGGAATTCTGATGGGACCCTCAGCCAAAAGTTGTTTGTATTGCAATTCTACACAACATATTTTTCGGTTCCGGTTTTGTGTGCTGTGTGGTGAGGCCCATAACTATTACTCTTCTCCTATGGGTGTTTCTAAACATTTCAAATTGACAGCAAGTAACATTAACTCAACTGAGATTGAAGAGTCCCCAGATACCTAAAAGAAAAGAAGTGGCAAAAAAAACGTATGCTTATTTCGACAAACAAAAGAGTTTGGATAACTTTGTAATTATTAACGGAGGAAAGATTGAGCATTCTTTGTTCGGTCAAACCAGCCAGGTATTGCTGCTGTTCGTATACCCTGGTTCCCCCCCCCCCCCCCCTCTCCTCTCGGGTGAAGAGGTATTGGGGGGTCACTGCTTTTTTTTTCCCTTTTTTTCCCCGGGTCACTGCCAGGACTGCCTTTCAAAGATTGCTCCCAGCTGCACTATAAAAAATTCGTAGTAATATAATAATGAGGGATAATAAGGGATAATAAGGGATGTTGGCATGTCCCCAATCGCGAGGAGCAGGTTCTGCTCACCCCAGCAATGGAACCGAGCCTTAGCTATGGATAGAAGCCGCAGACCTGAAACCCGGAGGGCCTTCTCAGGAACCCTCGCTGTGGGCTCTAGGCCGCAGCGTCCCACAGCCCAAGGGGCCCCCACACAGCCTCGTGCCTGTACTAAATGAAGGTGGGCCTGCATTTGGAAACGAGGCCTATTTTTGCCATTACTGCCTTGTGGGGCACCAGACAGGTACCCACGTGCCAGTTGGTTACAGGGCGACGCCTATGTGAGCACAACATGCAGAACCTCTGGGCTCACTCCAGCAGCGAGGTGGCCAGGGGCTCTCGGCCAATGGGAACGCAGGGAGCAACGTGGCTGGGCCTTTGTAGGCCAATTAGAATGCAGCGTGCGACAGCAGACTCGTCGCACAGTTGGGTGCAGACACGTTGGCCCAATGTGAAGCTACTGGGCACATGCCCGCCAGGTGCAGCCCAGCCAGAGGCAGGGCTCACTTTTCATAAAGGAAAAGTGAGCGCCCAGCCAGCAGGACATTCTGGCTTAGCAATGCTGGGCGGTCATGCTGCTGCGCTGTATGCAGACAGGCTGCCTGGTCCCTAGCAAGCCAGCGCGCCCTGGCTGCTGTGGCAGCGGGCGCACGGTGGCCATAACCAGGCTACTAGGGCACATGCCAGTCGGGCGATGGTGGTCTTCAGGAGAGGAGGCGCATGCTCTGGGGAGACAGGTGGTGTATGCTGGCAGTCTGCATTGGTGACATCGTCACATACATTGGTCTTCAGCTCCAAGTGACTCCTGCTGCATACACGTAGTGTAGTGTAGGCTAGTATAGGCTGGTCAGTGAGTGCCAATCAAGATGAACGACATTGGATACTAACTATGTTGGTGTGGCGAGAGAGTGTCGACATTTACATTTGAGCTCATTGTATTGCTCCTATTTGGCTGGTATCTCAGTGCATTTTGCTTTTCTGCTTGGTACACAACTATCTGGTCGACAGCGTGATATTGCAATTTGGTTTTCTGTCTATGGCTCGCGCTCATATTCCTCGCATCGGTATCAAGCTTCAGAGAACAGAAAAAGCAATGAAGGAAGACAAGCTCTAAGCAACATGTCCACCTTTTTTTTTTTGTTCGTTTGTTTATTTTTTAAAGGGAATAAAATAGTCCCTAACTTCACGATTCCGTCATCTGACTTCTTCAGGACTCGAAATCATGTTCTGTTTACCACCAGTTGTATATGCGTATACCACTCAGTCACATGGTTTGGTAGCAACACCACCACCTAGCCCGTCACTGCCACTATCCGCAGCCGATGGAACTCCCCCCAAAAAAACTCAGAAGCTGGGTTGAATTCATCAGGACTCAAACTCATGTTTTCCTGTTTACTAACAGTTCTATATATGTGTATACGATTCAGTCACATGGTTTGGTAGCAACATCACCACCTAGCCCGTCACTGCCACAATCGGCAGCCGATGGAAGGGGTAAAAGGGCAATTGGTGAGGGGGGAGGGGGTAAAAGGGCAATTGGTGAGGGGGGAAGGGGTCAGGGAAGTCTGTCAGCGGCCGTGGGTGTGGAAAGTTTTCATCTCTCGTCCCATCCTTGACGAGGAGGGGGATGACACCCCCTCCCCCTTCTTGGGGTTCTGAATTCTGCCAGTGTGTTGAGCCCTATTTGTATTTGTCGTTTTCTGTTTGAGTCACCCAGCTGGAGGGCAGACGTGAGATGATTACCTCTTCCCCTTATCTGTTTGTTTTCAAGTCTTTTTTTTTTTTTTTTTTTTTTTTTTTCCCCGATGTAAATGGCTGTTTTGAAGTGTTTCGCTTTACTGGGTCCATCTACCTGGAGGGAGATCCCACGACCAATGTAAGTGGATTTGTGTATAAGGTGTGTGACTGTCATGCGTCGTGGATGTGGCAGGAAATCAGCAGTAGCCTGTTTTTGTGAATTAAGAACGGGAAAGGGATCTTTTTTTTTTTTTTTTGCTCTCCCATTGGTAGGTTTTTCTTTCGTTTTTGTTGGGGGGTCCTGTGGCGGTCCCAAACGTGCGTGAAATCAAGACCAATTTTTTTGGCTCATGAAATCACGCACGTTTCATTCACGGCGAAGGCAAAGACGAATGGCTTCATCGCTGAGGAAATTGATTGTGGTTTGGGAGGTGTTTGGGAGGGTTCGATCCCCTCACCTACAGCAAATGGCATATGGAGTTAATCTTGTTCTCCTTTGCCAAAGAGAATTTCTGTCAGAACTACCGAGCAGTGTGCACTTCAGCCTATTTCCCGGAAGCCTATTGTCAATGAATATGTTCCGTGTGCCCGCTCGCATGCAGTCGTCTTGACTGCCACAGCCATGGTCAGTGAATCATACCCTGACATCTGACACCCCACCTGCAGCAGACACCATCTGTGAGAAGAGCACTTTCTTTTCCTTTTTAGCTTTTTGTTCTTCCTTTGTTTGGCAATGAAATGTTTTTTTAACTTTTTTTTGCGTTTATTTTCCCTGTTTCACGCTGCCGCCCACCTGTCCCCCACCCGTCCCACACCCCGTCATGCTAATCCATATACATGGCTAGTGGGATCTCCCTCCTGTTTTTTTTTTTTTCCTGAAAGGTTGTCTGAAAAGTCTCTAATTGAAATATTAAGGCCAGATGGGCACCTGATAGAACTGTTATAACTTTATAGTAGTTTATGCAAGGAACATGAATGTGGACGAAGCACAGAAATCCCAATTGCAAATCACACTGAAGTCCAAGTAGTCAAAGCAAGAGCAGATAACACATTGGAACCAAGCATTGTTGGCCATCCATTTGAGAACGATACAGCAAAAGTCGTGAGTCAATGTCCAAGCCCAATCGGGCAACACCAACAACATAACCCGAAGTAGCCCTCTCTCTTGAATGGCGCCAGGCGCCCTATCTCTTCTACAGCCTATCCTACAACCACAGTCATGGAAGCAACCAGACGACTTGACGACCAGCTAGTGATGACGTCAACACCAATGCCGACCTCCTCTTTCACCAGCTACATCACTCTCTCGTGTCCCTCACTCTCCCTTGTTATCCCACACAGCGCCCTTCAGAACCACCTTCGCCCTCACATTCTCCAGCGCTCCCATGCAGCCTGGCTATGGCTGCCAGCGCCCTGCGCCCAGGCCGTGCCCTACCGCTTAGCGCCAGCCTGCCTTCTCTCAGCCTAGTGCAGCGCAGCACACTCGCAATGCAACAGCGTGCCGGCCTTGCTCGCAATGGCCAAGATCCCTGCCCACTCGCCCGCTCTGCCTATATGCCAGTGTTGCGTGTGGGCGGTCTACCTTGAGCCTGCGCCTGGGCCCCAGTACCTGTACCCAGGCCGAATGCAGATGGGGCCCAGGTAATACAGTTGCGCCCCTTATGCTAGGGCCGTTGTCCAGATTCAGACCCCGTACCGGTTTCCCATTGGCTTCCTCGGCCTCTACTACGAAATACTGCTTTTCCAAAGGCCAGGGACCAATGTGTGATGTGTCGGCCTCTCAGACTGTCGCCCAGGGCTCAACCAACCCCGGCCCTGGGCTCAACTGCCTCTGCAGGAGTCGGAGGCTCATGATGCACTTCAACCAACTGGCGTGCGGCAACTGTCTGATACACACTTTGGGAAATGCTGAATGAAGGCCTCTTCGTGGATATTCTGGCCCGCCTTCACTTAGGGCGGGCATGAGGCTTGCTGGGGGCCTATGCCCAGAATATATGTATGTCGTCAAGACCCCGTTGAGGGCTCAATCCTCACATTTATACTAAGTTTATAGTAAATAAGGGCTGTTACCTGTAGGGGTGAAACTGTCTAAAAGACTAAAAAGGGGTGTACGTCTCAGAGAGATTGTTGCGTTTGGATTGGATTGTGGGCCTGATTTAGGAAAGGAAGGGGGGTTTGAAATTTTCAACCCTTGATGTGTGTCTCACTGATTCTAGGACCAGATGGTACAAATTATTCAAAAGCTTGTCTTTCAAAAAAAAAAAAGAAAAAAAAAGAGCTCGTCTTTGCCCTCAGGAGATGCCGCGGGTGCCACGTGGAAATGAGAGGGTTCGTGGATTTCTGCCATTCGTATCTGAGCATTGCGTTTTGCTACCGCCCTTCATCATTGTGACGGAGGAGAATTTGTTTGGGAAGAATCATCACAGTGAATGTGAGGAGTTTGCCACTGAGTGAGAGTTGCACAAATGGGTGTGTTCCTATTTGCCGGTGAGTTAATAAAAAATTGTAGAGCTTGCGTTATACCGGAGTGCTCTTTGACATTGGGTTAGCGGATTTGAAAAACTCACTACTGAATGTGACAGATTAGCCAGCTGTGCCTGTTTTCCTGTCAGTTAAGAAGTCAGAAACTTATTTAACACAGACACTTCTTCTTCTTCTTCTTCTTCTTCTTCTTCTTCTTCTTCTTCTTCTTCTTCGGCATTGTTGTTGTCGTCTCTTCTTCGCCTTCCTTCTCCTCCTCCTCCTCCTCCTTCTTCGCCTTCGCCTTTGTCGTCGTCATCGTTGTTGTCGTCTTCCTCCTCCTCCTCCCCTTCCTCCTCCTCCTCCTTCATTGTTGTCGTCGTCATCGTTGCTGTTGTTGTCATCATCACCTTCATCTTCTGCAGTTGCGTAAAGAACGGGTCAATATAGCAGAGGTTCGAAGACTTGCAAGTCAAGGCATTCCAGATGGTGGGAGCCTACGAGCAGTAGTTTGGAAGGTGAGTGACCTTTCGTTCGTTCATCTCATCTCATCTCGGGTACTCTACAGGCTGCAAGAGTGCTATTAGAAAAGACGGGTGAATAAAGGAATCAGGCAGCTAAAACAAAGTAAAAGAAGGAAGAAAAGGAGAGAAGATGAGAATCATGAGATAAAGCAAAAGAAAAAGAAAAGGGAAATGAAAGTTGTGTGCGTTCGGTTCTTCGTTTCTTCCAGTTCTTCCACATTTATCTGATGACGAATGCACCCTTGGTTCATCGCTATCTAACGGTAGAGAAATGACAGTAGAGAAATGGTGGTTCTTTGTCCTTTCTGCCTCTCGACCTGCAGTGTATGTATCATTACTTGAGGCTCACCTATGCGGTGCGCCATGCACACATGGGTGATGCATGTGCATGGCGCGCTCATGGGCAGTGCGCTCCAGTACCCACGACTACACCCCATGCGCGTGCATGGGTGAATGTGCCTTTTTTTTTTCATGTGTGTATGCGTGCGTGTGTGTGTGTGTGTGTGTGTGTGTGTGTGTGTGTGTGTGTGTGTGTGTGTGTGTGTGTGTGAGTTGTCGTGTTGAAATGGCCGGCATAACATGAAGCTGGAAAAAAAAAAAAACCGAGTTACATTACTTTCTTGAAGTTTCTTCCCTTTGTGAGGGATGGATGTATCTTGCCACCTTTTGGGGCAAGATGCACTGATTTTCATTTTGTGTGGTGTCCTGTGGGGACGTTGGCTTACAGTACCCGGCAAGGGAGAAACGCCCTTTCTTTCATCGTTTTCTTTTCGGTCTTTTTGTGAAATGGCCACGGCCTTGAGACAAGTCAGATTCGTCCAGTTTGTGGGGGATTCGAACCTGGGCAGCATTTAGCAGTTCAGTTCATGGGTGTACCAACCAGGCCAGGCCCATTTCAATTCTGATGGACCTGACGCCGATCAGATAAGTCCGTCACTTCTCAAGTGTGCAAAAAGAGAATGAATCTTGGAAAGATACACTGCCATAAGCTGTGTCTTTTGTGCAGCGGTGACGGTCCTCTGCCACTCACCACTGTGCAAAAGGCAAAGCTTATGGCAGTGTCTCTCTCCATGTTCTAGCCGAAGATTCATTCTCTTTTTCAAAAATTGGTGAATGGTGGACCAAGGCCCTTATCAGACGGGTCTCAGATCCGTCAGATTCACAACGGGCCTGCAGCAGGTAAGTCTAAACAGCCCCCAACCGGGCCCAACGTACCCTGCGCACGACTGTATAGGACTAGAAAACAAAGTTAACAAACATATGGCAAGGGTATCTTTCCACGTTGTAGTAATAGATATGTTCTCATTCGCTTAGCCTGGCCTACGTAACGTTCTCGTTGTTGTTTTTTTGTGTGTGTGTGTCAGGGTTGCATGCCTGCCGACCGCCGACCCCGACCGCCAACCGTATTGCAGCTGACCAGTAGGGCCGACAGGTTGGCGGTCTGCCGACCAGTCAGAAAACAACCATCCACTGTTTGTTTTTCAAATCTGAGTTGGGGGCTGTACTGCGCTTGCTGAGTACAGCCCAAATCCGCTGAGAAACTTTTGGGGATGGGGGGGGTTATGTATAGGGGGGGTATAGGGGGGTAT